AGGTCCCATTCATTCAAAGACTGTCCATTCCTCATCTGGTATGATTTAATACCAGCCCAGGAGACCAGGGCAGCACTCTAACAGGCCAGAGGACATTAGTCAGAATACCCTGTTGACATTGTGGAGCAATGTCTGGAACACTCTCAGAAGAGGCATTGTCATCCCTGGAGGAGGGCTGACAGTAGAGCCTGTGGAGGGGAGTGGTGACCACTGGGTGTCAGTGAGGCTGCTGGTGAGGGTAAGGAGGGTCCATGTCTAGGGGAAGAATACGCAGGATGAAGGACACTCATTGCGATCCCCACTGCCCTTGACTGCCGTGGACTTCAGGCAGCACTGATGTCAGAATCTCCATAGGTGAGAGCCAGTGTTGGGGCCTTCATAAGTTACTCAAGGCTCAGCACCTTGAACTTGCCCTGATTTGACTCATACAAAATCAGTGTCAGTCTATACTGGGCAGGCAGATTTCGCCAGATTCCAGGTCAGAAACACTGCACCTGCCAGAGGGGAATCATATGACCACAGGTGCTCCCCCTCAACCCCCTCAGAACCAGGGCCAATATAAGTCCCAGGGCTCCTTGGGGTATTTGGTTGTCTCAAGTAGTAGGGTGGAAGTGGGGGACATGGGAAGGGGTGTAGATGATTCTTGGGCACCAGAAGGGGAGAAACTAGGGATGGTCTTGTGCTGATCTGTCCAAACTTAAGGCACTCCCTTCCCCTGGGTGGCATGGCCACCACCATTCCTAGTTACCAGTGAGGACCAGGCCCATCTATACCTGGATAAACCCAGGATGGGGCACAGGGCCTGAAGCTTTAAAGGTTGGACTGATGTCAACTTTGATGTCAGTGACCTCATTGAATTCTTGGGATTGGTCCAGGCTGAGAATGGCTTTATGGGAAGGAAAACCTTCTCATGCTTTTAACTCCAAACTTGACCACCTCATTATCAAATGTGAGAAGACAGTTCTCTCCCTTCTTGATGAAGAAATCTAAACAAGAATTACCCACTTGATGGTGCCTAGATGGTCCGCAGATTATGCAGTCCTACAAAGAGCTGAGTTCTGAAAATGGAAACAGTTTATGATATAAAAAACCACAGACACATCTCTGTAGGAGGCAGTACCTTTGGGGAGGATTGACATTTCATTTCTCAATTTCAGGTGGAGTCTAGGCTAATACTATTTCCCTGCCCTCTCAGCAGTGTTACTTGTTTTAGTTTGCTGTCTGTTTAGCCAGGGGACTAATTAATTAACAATTAAATCTGCTGGAAACATTCCACCAAGTGGCACTCTGTAAATAGTTGACAGTGATGAGGCTACTGCTTATTTAATTGGAAACTATCTAATTGGAAACATAAAATGTGGAGTTTTGCAGTAAGTATGAGAGATTTGTCATCTTACAGATGAGAAAGTTGAAGATCAGAAAAGGGGGAGGTGCTTTGTTTGATGTTGCACAGTGATGTGGGAGAAAGCTAGGAATCCTGATTTTGAATCTACCCCTTGCTTTTTCTACCACATTGCACTAGTGTTGAGAATTGGCTGAATTCCGCTAAGCCAATTCATATGTTGAGACATTAACCTTTCCAAAGAACAGTAAAATCTCATTAAGTCAAAATAATTGGAAGGATGGTCAGGTTGAATTGGGGGAAAAATTTGAACTATTTTCAAAGATATTTAGCTTTTTCCTTTCAAGGCCATGTAGTAAATCAGAACAAATAACCACAAAATGGGCCAAGTAGAGGTCTCACTGAACCTGTTTGAAGGAACAAATAAGAATAAATGGTTCATTAATGGTTTGCATATAAGTAATGACTACTAAAAATATTTTAGGTATTTGGGAAAATAAATGTTTGATAAAAGTCGACTAAATGTTTCCCTTGAAAACTCACTTATTGTAAAATTTACGTAAGGAACTTTCACAAATATTTCAGTTAGACAATGTGTTAAAATTATCCTTTGATTTAGTACCATATAAATTGACCTGTTTTGTTTTTGCTGTATGGAATTATTTCTGTAGCTCGCAGAGGCACAAATGATGACATCTGTCTCTCTCACTTTACATACCCTTAATTTTTCATCTACTCAAGGCCAACAAAATGCCTCCAGCTGCTAGGAAACTGAAAGCATTCTCTGGCTCATTCTTTTCCCTCACCACAAAGCCACCAATTTTCAACAAATGACCCAATCCTTCTAGTCACCACCTGTGAGAAGTCTTTGTATTGGGCTGCCTTCACTTATTTTCTCTTCAAATGCAGAACATTCATTTGTTCCTAAGGGTGTTTAGAAATATTGGGTCATGTTATCTCTGTTTATCACATGACAGGTATATACTCCTCCTGAAGCCCTTGGGCTCCTTTATTTTTCTCTCGTTAATTAAATGAACATCTTCCTCCTTTGTTGTGTAAATATCAGTGTCATCTACCTGGCAACTAACACAGGGAAGGTTCCAGACTGGCTGAGGGGATGTTGCTGACTAACAGGGAGGTTTTGGGGATGTTGCTGACTAACAGGGAGGTTTTGTGTGTGTGTGTGGTGGGGGGAGGAAATATCTGTGTAATGCTTTCAGAAAACCCCTGTGTTCAAAACTAGGAAAATGGGGATTTGGTTAGAGATAGCAAGTTTTCCTTGTTGGGTGAGTTATTCTTGATATGATTAAAAGATCCGTGTGTCTTAGGAAAAAGCTGACCGAAATAAAAAGAGGGCTACAGCTATTTCTGTCAATTAATATTGCAGTTTACTCTGATGAAACGGCTTAAAATTCAAAACAAGTTACTGAGTCAATCCCTGCTGGTCACCTGCTGCCCCCTTCTGGATAAATTTGAAACTGAAATTTTTGATCTCTTCATGTCCTGTTCTGTCTCCATTGGCTTGTTTTCCCGAAACTTGCTTTGTTGCAGTGTGAAGTATTAGACCATAAACTGCAAAAGATTTATGGAGTACGTTTTTGTTGACTCCCAGCAACACTAGGATCTTTCTTTCCTCACTCGAGGATGAGCTCCTTAGTTTGTGAACCCTCTGTCCTTGTTCCAATCTTCTACCAAGAATCCAAGCTAAAGCAGTCGTTCTTGGCAGGCTTGGACTAATTAGCCAGAAGTCCTTTCCGACTTGGCACCTTGCCTTAGCAATCTTTTCCTTAAAAGGGAGTTTGGATTCTTGACCTCTAAGGTCCCTCTGGCCCTGACTCCGTATCTTTACCACTAAGAAATGGCTATTTAACAGGAATTTTTAGGTATAAAATGAACCTTTCCTTCTAACGTACAAGATTTCTGGAAATAAAATGAATGTACTCGATGGGGATTGAATTTCAAATTTTTTCACAATCAGTATGCCACTAGGAGGCAGTGTTGACATACAATTTAATTCAAGAATATGTTTGTTACATTTCCTTTTGAGGAAAATATTTTTAAAACCAAGCAAATATAAGACTCAGTAAAAGTTATGATGTTTTGTGTGGCAATAAAGTTCTGAAGATAATATTAAAGGGGCATGAATCTTACGCAGTAATAGAAAAGCACAGTAAAAAAGCACTATTGAAACTGATTTGTGAGAAATGGTAGATAGCAACTTTGCAAAAAAAAAAAAGGGGGGGACCCCACCAACTGGGAGAACATTACACAACACTAATGATAAAGGACTGATCACAAAAATCTGCAAAGAGCTGATGAGACTCAGCAACAACAAAGAAAATAATCCAGTCAAAAAATGGGCAGAAGAGCTAAAAAGAAACTTCTCTGAAGAGGAAATGCAAATGGCCAACAGGCATATGAAAAAATGTTCAACATCACTTGTAATCAGGGAAATGCAAATCAAAACTACCATGAGATACCATCTTACACCAGTGAGAATGGCACATATTAAAAAAACTAGCAACAGCAAATGTTGGCGAGGTTGTGGAGAAAAAGGAACTCTTCTCCACTGTTGGTGGGAGTGCAAACTGGTCCAACCACTATGGAGAGCTGTGTGGAGATTTCTGGACCTACTAAACATAGAGCTTCCATATGATCCAGCAATTCCACTCCTAGGTATTTACCCAAAGGACACAGAAACATCAATTCCAAAGAACACCTGCACCCCTATGTTTATAGCAGCACTATTTACAATAGCTAAGCTTTGGAAACAACCCAAATGCCCAAAAATAGATGACTGGGTCAAGAAGATGTGGTACATATATACCATGGAATATTACTCAGCATTCAAAAAAGATAAACACATGCAATTTGCAGCAACATGGATGGCGCTGGAAGGGATCATGCTCAGCGAAATAAGCCAAAAAGAAAAAGAAAAATACCGGATGGTCTCACTCATAGCAGGAATCTAGAAAACTTAAATAAGGGACCAGGAAAATGAATAACTATAAGAAAGTGAAAATCAAAATCAACAAAAAACTATGAACCAGAGACACTTTTTGGGGGTGGGGGGTGGGAGGGGAGGGATTGGGGTCAGAATGGGGGGTTTGCAATTGTATGGGGTAATATAAAAATAAAATTTATTATTTAAAAAAAAGGGGGGGCAGCGTTTGCTTTTCTCTTAGTTTACCTCAGTTATATGCAGCCTCTGAGAGTTGTACTGGTTTGGCTCTATTTCTGTGTATGGGAGGATATGGATTAGATTACTAATTGTCTTAGTAAGAAAATTCTGGAATTTTTTTCCCCTATAAATACTGTAACTATCTCTTTTAAAACTCTAGCATACTGATGAAGTTGGTAGGTAATAGTATTTTTTTAATAGATGGGTAATCTGAAGTATAGATATTTCATACAGGACGTGACAAGTTATAGGATGAAAATATGAATCAAATACAGCTAAGTCTTATTGCTCTTCTTTTTAGTAGCTGAAAAATTACCACTTCAAAACAACTAAATCAACCCGAGAATGTTTAAAAAGCAGTACGAACTCTTTTCTAGTAAGTTTAGAGTTGCCATGTTTATTCTTGCATTTTCAGACTTGAGTTCTTAAAGGACAGTAGATATTGTTAGTCTAATAAACCTAGATAGAGTTTGGAGAATCTCTTTTTTTATTCTACTTTTTTCCCCCAAAGCTACCAAAGTAACACATATTCTACTACTCAGTCTTACCAATGGGAGGCATTTAGGTGGGTACAATTTTGAGCAGGATGTAGAAGGCCTACATACTTATATCTGCTCACCCCCCTCTGTTGGTCTGTATGTTTCTTAGTAGTAAAAAAATGGATCAAGAAAGAGAAAAACTCTGGAATTCTGAGAGCTGCACTCTGGGCTTGGATACTTACAGATTGGGTCCTATCCAATTTTCTAAGAATAAATTTTAAAAAGTGTCCCATGGCAGTGCTTTTCAAAGTGTGAGTCAAAACCCAGTAATGGTTCACAAAATCAATTTGAAATGTCACAACTAGCATATTTTAGTAATAAAATAGGAATGGGAAGGAATGGAATAGAAGATACCAGAGATATGAGAATGGATCACAATTTTATTTCAAAGGTTTGTGGTAATGTGCTTTACTGGGTCATTTATATAAATTGTGTTTCTTACTAAAGGTCATGTTCAAAAGAGTTTGGACGTCACTTCCCCATAGCATTTTATCTGTCCCTGTCCAGGTGCGAGTCATTTATTATCAGTTCATGTCTCATCTTCCTTACAAGCCTGCAAACTTCTTGAAGTAGGATTAATGTAGGGATTACTTTTCCTTAGTCACAGAGATTTCCTTAATACCTTCTGCACAATGGGTGCTAAGTAAACCTGCTTAAGATTTATTTTTTTATTTTGCTTCTAAGTAAACTTCTAAAACATACTTTCAAAGTTATCAAGTGCTACGTGCAATTCTATTTTGTACAGCTAATATTTTTATGTGTAGGCTGGCATTAAACAAGCATTGCTGTTTAACCATCTTTTCCTTATCTTTAGGAACTGTGGTCCAAGCATAGAGGAATTCAGTAGAAATGGGTTCTACCGAGGTTACTGTGAAGATTTGAATTTTTGTTTTTCAAAGAGCTGTCTCAGCTGCTGCTCAGTTGTGGCTTCTTTCTGCTGCATCAGCTCAGCTGTTCCTTTGGTCACTCCCCAGGCATCTGGCTTTGACATTGAAGGGTTGTATGGCCTGCCAGAGGCGATCCTAAGATTCTGCCAGTATTCCTTCCTGGCCCTGTGTTAACAAAACACACATTAGACTTTTCCCTGAGTGTGGGTCCCCAGGCCACTGAGCTTGAGTATCTCCATGGAGCCATCTTTGGACTCTGAAAGTATATTCACTAATACACATTTGTTAATTTTGGGTAAAATTTTTCCTTCTCTAGAATCTGTAGGTCTAAAATTAACTTGAATTTCTAATGGTAAGATATGCATAGTGATCAAGACCTAAGAATTTAGAATAAGGATATTTTCTCTCCAGCCTATACTATCTTTCCATCCTCACTGGAACTGCCCAAATGAACCAGCTGAGGCCTCATTTGCTGCTCTTCTCCAAGCCCAGTATTGCTTCTGTAGCTCCCACTCTGTGGATCTTACATCTTTCTCCTTTCTAATTCTATTGTCTCCTTTTACCTCAGTGCCTCAACATATTTGGAATCTAGTCTAGCAAAAGCTTCCTCACAGGTGCCCCTGTCTCAAGGCTTATATAAAAATTTGCTAACTTGGGTCTTCCCTGGTGGTGCAGCGGTTCAGCGGTGGGCTGCAAAGCTGCCCGCAGCCTCTGCTGCGCCAGCTCGATTCCTGGCCACCGAGTGAGGGTCCCACGTGGCGCGACAGACCTCTCCTGCTGTGCCTGCTGTTCCCCTAAGCAATGTATTTCTTCGTCAGTCTGCCCGCTCTGGCTCTGGTGAGTTCTCTGACCCTCCCGCGCTTCTGGCTTCTGACTATACCCAGTGTTTGTATAAATAAAATAAATCAATCTTTAAAAAAAAAAATTTTGCTAACTTGCAAATATGACCTTGTCCTGGACCACTTGAGACCCTCTAGCATCCTCACTGCCTTGAGAGGAAGTCAGATAGTTCATTAGCACAATTAAAAGGCATCCTGCTATTCCTGACAGGTATCTTCTATCAAAGTCTGTCTCCATTATCCCCAAACTTCCAGTTTTTTTAACACATCATTCTTTTTTCTCTTCTCTTATGCTTTTGTATAGCGTGTTCCCTTGTCTACCAATGTACTTCGTCCTTCAAAGTTCAGTTTCAGCATCTTAAAAAAATCTTAGAAATCCTTCACTAGCTACCACCCCTGTCTTTTATACCATGAGCCATTAGCTCAGACCCACAGCATCCATGCATATCTTTATCCTTGAACTTACTATATTAACTTGAACCTTGTTTATCTCTCTGCCTACTACACTGGCAAATCCTTGGGGACAGTGCTGTGTTTGTCTAGCTTGCTACCTCATTGTCCACAATGTCTAACATAATTGTGCTCCATGTTGGAGAAACACTGGCACTGCTCTTTCTGTTTGGGGTACTCACCCTCCATTCCCTTTTCTATCTTGTGGATGCCTGCTTAGTCCTTCAAAACCCAGCCAAAAAGCCCTTTCTTCTAAAATATTAATTAGGCAGAGGCAGTTACTCTCTTCATTGTTAACTTTTTAAAAATCCATGCCTCTACCAAAGCAGTTATCACAGTATCCCTTTACCTTTATCCCTTTATATATGTCTGTTTATTGCTCATCCCCACCAGTGCAATGTAAGCTCTGAGGGCAAAGACCTTTTCTATCTTAACACAATATTCCCAGTCTTAAGAATCATGCTTGGCATAGAACAGGCACTGAATTAATATTTGTTATACTTAATTCTTAACCAATTCATTCAATGTTAATGTCCACCACATGAATGGTGCTTTCCTAGAGCAAGAAATCACATTTCATTGCAACTTACACAATTTATAATCTATATTCTTAAGGCCTTCTCCATAAATCACTTCGTAAGGCTGTTTTATAAACATCTCAGTGAGATGTTTAAGGAGAACAACTGATTCTTCGTTATCACACAGCAAATTAGCTGCACTCTTTATAATAACCTCACTTGAACTTGAAATATTCATAATCTAAATGAGTATGGTTTGGCACAATTGGTGTAAATTTTTTACCTGGCTCTAATCCAAGGTTTGGTATGCATGTCCAAACCACTTCCCCAGCTGCCATGCTTTTCTGAAGCTGGTGGCAAAAATCCCCTTTCAGGGGCCAGCTCCTCTGCAATGGCCCTGATGTGGTAGGGCTCAAATCCACAGCACCCCCCAATAAACCTGACACCCAGGTTGTAGGCCTCTCTGGCATATTTTTGAATATCCCATCGGGTTGCAACTCTGGGTTCCAGTCCTGTAAAATAAATTGCATTTTGTCTGAATTAATTTTTTAAAATATTTAAGATAAGCAGTTATAATAGATATGTAATTTCAATACATTAATTAAGTTGTGAATATTCAAATTTCAACTTTTATAAGCTATCAGCTTCTTTGTGTTTATCCTGCTTTAAATGTCATGAAAACTAGTTTCAATATGGTTCCCCATGGTTCCTGCCAACTGATGTTCTCACCTTCATGTACATTATATCAGGTTGGCAGTGAATATGGCAATAGGTAGGGTTTTGTGACTTTGGAGGCTTGGTCATAAAGGACATTATGGTTTCTGCCTTGTTCTCTCTTAGAACACTCATTTAGGGGGAGGCCAGCTGCCATGATGTGAGAACACTTAAACATCACAACCTAAAGGCCAATGAGCTGAGTAACTGATGCCTCCAGTTAATAGACAGCAAGAAAGTGAAATTCCCAATAGCCAAATAAGAGAACATGGAAGGAAATCCCCTAACCTCCATCAGGTCTTCAGCTCCAACCCGTATCTGGGCTGTAAACCTCTTAAGACACCAGAACAAGAGTTAGCCAGCTATGCTGCTCCCAAATTCATGAACCAAAGAAACTATGAAATTTAAGTGTTTGTTATTTAATTTTTATTATTTACTAAGTTTTATAGTGATTTGTTCTACAGCATAAATTATACAAAATCTTTGCCATTCTCCTTCCATGGTTCTCCTAGAGTGATTATTTTTTAAATATCTTACTTCTCTGTGGGTTCCTATAGAATATAGGACATGGTAAAAGAAGCTGAGATTGGAATAGGGGGCTGACCATGCTTTGGCCCTGCTGACCTCTTTGGTGTGATTTTCAAGGTAGACTCACCTTTATTTCCCAAACATGCTTTATCCTTCTGCCTAGACTGCAAGTTTTCCCTCAACTCATCTACTTGGTCTCTTCATTCAGATTTGCTATACAGTAACCCAGTGATGCTATCTTCCCCTAGCCCCAGATCCTGGAGTATCTGAGCAATGTTCATAATAGGCAAAAAGAATCTTGGAGATAACCTGCTCTAATATTCTTAATTTTTGGAAGAGAAAATTAAGATCTTGAGGAACTAAAGTATTTTGCTAAGGTCACACAAGTCAGCAGACCAAAGTCAGCTGGGACCAAAACCAATATCTTCACTGATTCTCATCTACGAGAGCATTTGGGGGGGGGGGTGAAAGGTGGGGCAAACTACAAGTATGACTAATTGTCTATCTAGATGTTGATTCAAGTATTTTGCTTGTGGTCCTATCTTTTCCTTCTACTGCTATCTTATATTAGTGGGGTTTTGGCTGCAGGGAAGGAACCGGGGGCAAGAAATAAAGAGATATGGAGTCATTTCTTTACTATGATAAAATATTATGGCTATAGATTTGAAATTTATCAAACATGAAGACATTGAGACAATTTATAAAACATCTGTCTTACCAAAGGGGAATTCCGGAAGATCAATAAATCCCTGTTTGCTGCAGTCAGGGGTGTGGTAGGCCAAGGGCTGAGCCATCAGGTGGGCTTTCAACCTGGCAGCCTCCAAGCCTTCTTTCATGAGCTTCACTGTTTGCAAACTAATTGTGGGGTCAAAGTGGCAGTTCACACCGATGATGGAAGCTCCTGCAAATAGGAAGAACATTTTCGCTTTAGGGAGTCACCAGAAACCAGTAGACTTAACTCTCGTCTCCATTAGGGAGGTTTTATTTATAACAGTGAACTGGAAGTACAGTATTTGGTCCTTGGTCCCTTAAAACCTATCTTACCCTTGAGCAAGAATGATTACTAACAGGCAGCAAGTGCTTTCTGTGAAAAGTGCTTTGAAGAGTCTGGTATAATTGAAGTGTCATTTATGCACACTTGACTGTCCATCTTTTTTATTAAAAAAATCATTATTAGAGTTTTTTTAACTTCAAGTTTTAGTAGTCAATTTTTCAATCTTTGACATTATATTGCAAGCACACTAATTTTTCAATACTCCCAGCTGCTAGATTGTACCTGTGGTTACCATACCACTCATTGGAGGAATAAATCAATGTTCCCTTTCATTAGGTCAATTTAATAATATACTTTCTTGGGCGCAACAGCAGAATGTAATTTAGGAAAAAGTTTTTCTGTAACATGTTTTCTGGAGGAATTTTGTGTTTGGGGTTTGTAATTAGGAAAAAAACTCAAAAGCCCTTTGACTCTAGCTAATAGAAGTGGCTAACAGTCTATTATTCATTTTGACAAGCTTCTCATTTACATTTTCGCCTCCCCAGACTCACAACTATATGGGATTGTTGCAAAGATTTTTTTTCTCTAAAATTTGTTGTTTGTCCTTATTAAATCAAACAACAAATTTTACCAAAAAAACTTTATATTCTTTATGTTCTTAATCATTTCTGGACCAAACAGTTGATTATTGCAATCATTGTACTAATTTTTGAGGTTTCTTTCTCCAGAAGATACAAGGAGACAGTATGACCAGAATACTTACAATCCATCCTGTCAAGATAGAAGGAATTCCCAAATAGAACTTTTCTTTCTTTATTCTTGTGGTTATATACACACAACATATATATGTATATGTACACCCTTATTTATATATATTTGATATTTGTATGCAGTTTAATTCAATTTTGTTGCAATCATCACTATTTCCAGAACTTTTGTCACTCCAGAGAGAAACCCTGTGCCTATTAAGCACTAACTCCCTATTCCCTTTCCTCTAGTCCCTGGTAATGCATTTTCTGTCTTTGTTGATTTGCTTATTCTACGTAAGTGAAATAATACAAGACTTGTTCTTTTGTGACTGACCTATTTCACTTAGTATCATGTTTTCAAGGTTCACCCTAGTTAGAGCATGTATCAGAACTTCACTCCTTTATTCAGTTTATGGGTGTTCCCTTGTATGGACACATCCCATTTGTCTATTCATTCATCATCTGGACACTTGGATTGTTTCCATCTTCAACTATGATTTTTTTTTGATGGCTCATGGCCTAAAATTTTGTAGTTGTATATAAAAATACCAAGAATAGGACAGAAGAGATTCTGTCTATAATGAGAGTAACATCAACATCCAGATTCTAGGAGCCACAGAGCTGATGTTACAAACCATGACATCTTTAGTTCTCAGTGGGCTGGGTTTACAGTTTGCTCTTCATGCATGCTCCGGTCAGGCCTCATTCCCCATCGTTCCTCTATATAAACTTTTGTTAAGGGCACCAATGATCTCAATCCTACCAAATCCAGTAGTAGATTCTCTGTTTTAATCTTACTCAACATCTCAGCAGCATTTAACCCTGAACCCATTCTCTCCTTCATCAACACCCCCTTATTGGCATCTGATAACTTTTATGATTTTGAGTGTTGCTTCTGGCTCCCAGGCTGCTTTTTTTTTTATTGCATGCTGATCTCTCACCAAGGCTGACCCCCTCAATCCCACAGTGTCCCTGGATTCCACCAAGCCATCTTCCCTTTTTCATTTATATTTCCTTTTCAGTCCCAGAGCTTTCAGTACCATCTGTATCTAGAACTCTCCCAAACTTCTCTAACTCTGACCTTTCATTTAAGTTCCAGACTTGTATATTCAACAGCTTACTTTACATTTCATTTGGATCTTGACTACTTTTTCTTTCTTTCCTTCTTCCTTTTTTTTTTTGCATGCTCTGTTGCCCAAGTTTCTCCTTCCTTACTTGGTATGATTACATTAATGAATTAATCATATGTTCTCTGTTTATTGGATGTTAATTAGGTATAAAAGTCCTTATAAGAGATTATAGAGAAATATAAACATCGGACATAGTCCTATCCATAGATTGGATGCAGGCCAAGAATCCCTGCCAATTAACATGGGAATGATGAAGGCTTCCTTTGATACTTTTAAAACAACTTAACTTGCTTTTCCTACCATTGTTATATTTTCAGTCCAAAATTAGGGTTCTACAACTTCACTCCTAAATCTAAATAATTGTTTTTATTAATGATAAATATGAAGGAACTTTCATGACATATCAAGAGTTGGATAAATATCAGAAATTAAACAAATAACCAATCAAAATCTCTCTATACCACAGAGCAAGTCAGACTCTCTGACACTGTGCTATTCGTTGGCATCAAAATGAGGCAGCTTTGAAAACAGTTTGCAGGTTTTCCCTAATTGAAATGAAACCCAATATCAAGAAAGAAAACTATATAAAAAGATAAATTAGGTGGGCAGTATTTCATATCAAAGAGTTTCTTGATTTATTACACCCATTACAAAAAGGCAAAGCATACCAGTAATTTATGAGACTGAAAAAACTTTGGCAAAGAGGGCAACTAACTTAAAAACTATTAAAGTTTAAAGACTTCTTGACATAAATTTAAAACAAACACATTTTTTCCTAATCCTCTTTTAGATTTACCAAATTTCTTCTCATTTTAAGGTGTCAAACCTCCAGCATAAGTCTACTTCACCCTTTCAAATGGCTGGCATTTATATGTTTTAAACATTTTTTGCTTTGGGACTCAATAATAGTATCATTATAATCCTCAAAAGATAAATGAATGGTTTCCTTTTTAACAAAAGTAGTACATACTGGTTTGTGGGTGGACATGCATTTGTGTATTATTTTAAAAACCTCTCTAATTGCAAACCAATCAAAATCCGTCATCACCTGCTTTAACCAGGCGAACTGCACACTCGCCCGGGGGCACTCCATGCAGGTCTCCCTCCGGGCCGATGCACATGGTCGCTGCCACTGGTTTCCCAGATGATTTCAAGGCTTCAACTGCCCACACAGCTTCTTCAACATGTTCAAAATACTGAAATAAGACAAGGGCAATGTGCTTTTAAACTTGTTTCTCCCCAAATAATTTGAAAACTTATTCTATTCCTAATTTATCAGCAGATGAGCACTTTTCAAACTCTGAGTTGTGATATACAACATTTTTGAAACAGAATAGAATGGTGATTTCTATCTGACTTGCAGTTAGAAGGCTCAAAGATCCACTGTGCTAGATTAAATCAAATTTAGTAAAAGTTCTAACTTGTAAGAGAGAGTTCAAAAGTAAACATTACTCTTATTAGTCAAGTTTAGCACCTAGTTTCACATGGTTTTCATAAACTTCAAAGCAGAGAAAGTGTAAAGTGTAATTTTCTTTGGTAATATCTTTGTTTACCTCAGCAATCAAGAAGTCCACGTTCTTCTTCATAAAGACCTCTAATTGTTGCTGAAATACTTTTTTAACTTCAGTTTCACTCTTGCAGCTAAGATACGAAGGTGTCTGACTCACTCCTCCTGCCACCAAAGCATCTCCCTCATCAGCCACTTGTCGGGCAATGTCACAAGCAGCTTCATTGACTTTCTGCCCCTAAAATGGTTGAATATAGAAAATATCTACATTTTCATGTGAAAGTAAAACAAACTTATTACTCAAATGCCCATATTTCCATTGTGTGATTCCAGAGGTGACTTTATTCCAGAAAATACAGAGATGGAATAGTTCAGTGTTTACCAAGGTCAGCAATTAGCAATAACACTAATAATAGTGATGAAAGAAATACATCTCATAATTGTGGTATCTAGGATATTACATTAAACCAAAGATCCGTGAGAGGGTAAGGGTCTTGCATAAAAGGATCCGGCACCTGCCAATTCCTGAGCTGCACTTAGAAGAATACCTAGCAAACAGTGGCAATGATAATAATTCACTTTTATGATTAATTAGAATTAAATTCAATTCAAATGATTACAGAATTTTTGTTATTTTATGATTATGTATTTTCTCAATTGACAGATAAAAGTATCACAAATAAGATATTGTTTAATTAGGCCTTAAAAACTGATACTTACCCTAATTAAAAAAATAAAACCAATGCTGTAACTCCCATAAACTTGTAGAAATTAAGAACTCCCTTTTCATTTTACTTTTTTTTAAGATTTATTTATTTATGCATACAAGAACTAGAGGACAGGCCAGAGGTATGGGAGTGAGAGGATTCACCAGAGACAGAGTGGGAAACAGAACAGGCAGATCAATTGAAATACACTGCTGAGGGAAGCAGTGGGTGAGTCAGGAGAAGTCTGCTGTGCCATGTGGGTAGCTCCATGGCCGGGGATCGAATTCGTGCTGCAGTGGCTGTGTACAGCTTCATAGGTTGTCTCTCAACCCCTTGCACTTAACCCCTTTTCATTTTAGAGATGAAGAAGTTGCCAAGCTGATAAGTAAATGTAGTTTCACATAGTTTCTTGTAGTAAGTAGGGAAAGATTCCAGGTTCATAATTCCTTGAACTTATACCTTGCCCCTACTCTATGTCATATTTTAAAACTATAATATTGGCAAGGATGTGGAGAAAAAGAAAATTTCATGCATTGTTGCTAGGAATGTAAATTTGTATAGCCACTCTGGAAAACAGTATGGAGATTCCTCATAAAATTAAAAGTAGCTCTATCACTTGACCCATCAACTCAACTTCTGGGTATTTACCTAAAGAATAGAAAAACAGGGCCTCCCCTGGTGGCGCAGGCGGTTGAGCACTGCGCTGTAAAGCTGTCTACAGCCTCTGCAGTGCCGGTTTGATGCTGGCCGGCCAGCGAGCAGACCTCTTCTGTCTCGCCCGCTGCTTGCCTGTACCCCGGTTTTTGTATAAATAAATAAATCTTTAAAAAAAAATAGAAAAACACCAATTTGAAAAGATGTGTGCATTCCTATGTTCATTGCACTTATTCAAAATAGCCCAAAAACGGAAATGACTCAAGTGCCTGGTAATGACAGATGAATGAATAGAAAAGATGTGATATATATACAAAACAGAATACTACTCAGCCATAAAAAGATGAAATTTTTCTATTTGCAACAACATGGATGGATCTTAATGGGATTATGCCTAAGTGAAATCAATCAAAAGGAGAAAAAGAAATACCAAATGTGTTTTGTTAACTATAAAGGGAAAATGAACAAACAAGACAAAACAAACACTGACTCTGAGAACAGATTAGTCATTGCCAGAGAAGATTATAGGGGCAGGAATAGTTAGAAGGGATCGATTAATTGTTGGTGGATGTGATGGGAAATTTGGTAGTGGTGTGGCATGATATATGCAGTTGCTGATGTAAGAAATTGTACCTGTACCATTGTTGAGTAACTCAACTAAATTCACTCAAGTAAAATTTTTTAATCAACTATAAGATCATAAGAATTTGTAAAGATGTTCAGTCAGTAACAGTCAAGAGACTGGGAAAATCATTAATTTGGTTCTAATTTGATCTGTTTCATCAAATGTCTTTCTGTTAATTCAGAGGCTCCAGCTAAAACCTGAGTGTTATCCACACGTATATCGTTTCTGTATTATTTAAGACAAAACCAAACTCTGAAGAATCTCAACAGTTTTCTCTATGAAAACTTTTGCGATGATAAATATGTCCACTATGCCCTCATAAAAGTTCCATGTATGGTTTTACTCACTGATATCTTCTCAGCAACATAGTTTCCTCTGTTTTCCAGCTTGTCTTCACTGGCATAAAATGTGAAGGTCTGCATGACATTCGATCCAGCTCTGAGGAACTCTCTATGAAGCTGGCGAACTTGAGAAAGGAATGAGTAAAGGTATTAATTTCTATCAGTTTACTGACCCATATTTTCAAAAGGCTCTAAATGAAGAAATATGAAAGCATCTCCTTAAAATTAAAAATGTTGTTTGGCATTTGTACATCTTGAAAGCTAATGAGAAGTGGGTTTGGGGTCTCTTGCCAGATAAAAGAGCTTATTTCTACCATGGATGTGAGGCAAAGGGAGGAAGGAGATCTCACAGAAAAGTAATCATTTTGGCATTTTTGCTGAGCAGAGAAGGTGGGGATGGGAACTCCCTATGATGACTACCTGAGCAGAGATAAGGAGAAAGGAACTGGCGTGGCAAGGAGGATGGCAAGTAGTCTGGAGGGCTGGAATTGAGGGTATGTTGAAGATATGCTGAAGGTGAAAGTGAAGGTGAAGGTGAAATCAGAATGGTGAGCAGACAAAATACGAAAGGACTAGCATGTCTTCCCAAGAAGCCTGGGCTCCAGGTTACATGTAGCAGGGAAATAGCAACAGTTTGTAAGCAACAGGGTGTGTGATTGGCTGTGTGTTTGAAAGATAATTCTAGTAACAGAGTGGAAGAAGAATAATGTGAGCAAGGATCCCAAGCATTGGTCCAGTAATGAATGCCAAGTGGCAAAACTTTCACTGGTTGGAAGAAATATAGTGGGACTCTCCCACCCCCTATTTCCTATATAGCCACTTTAAAGAAGGTCATTTGCTCCAAAATAGTGGTCCTAAACCTTGGGCATCCATTAGAAACCAAGAAGGCAGTGACCCAAAAAGGTGAAAACAGCTCCTTGCTTGTAATCATTTTGATTATTCTGTTATGCTTCTTAAAACTGCAGTGTTTCTCAAAGTATGACCCAATTTAGACTCACCAAGAAGCAGTTATTACAACTTCAGATTCCCCAAGACTCTCCAGGTCCAGCAAACCTGATTCCACCATGTGCAAACATCACAACTTTTGACATTAACTTTATTGGGAGAATTAAATATGGTAATTTCTGGATACTCTTTACATTTCCGTTTTATGTTTTTTTATATGAATCCTAGAGTCTTTGTCCTCTAACCACTAACAGGGTGTGACTGGTCTCTACAACAGTGACATAACCTATTCTAATTAATTATATTCATTTTATGACTTTAAACTCTTCATTATACTTATTTTATTTTATCATCATAGAAGCTAATTAGCTAAATGCAACCAAGATATGTGTGTGTGTATTCTAGCTATAAATATCCATAGTATAGTTAAATAGTTACCCGTGTAAATTTACCTGAAAAACGCAAGTGTTAGGAATTCCACAGAGAACTCTAAGAGGTCAAATAAAACTTTTCAGTATTTCTTCAGTGGAATAATAAATTTATCACAGAATCACTTGGGGACAAAACATGATCAGAACCACTGTGAGGATGTTTGTAATTGTATCCCAATTAGACTAGGTAGTCATAGTCCTTGAGGCAAAAAAAAAAAAAAAAAAAAAAAAGTGCTTGATTATGAGGGAGGAAGACTGCTTCAGACCTTACTGAGAGTGTTACATAATTTGTAGCACAGAGCACTATTAACTTTAATAAGTCCCCCAAATTCTGGATTCCAGGATATATTTGACTGCAAATGGTTTGGGATATGGTTTGTGTAGCTGGAGTGAAACCTTCCTTTTCTTACTGCTCCCAGCATTAAAAAGTCAACCTGGGCTCCAGTCCCACAAAAACATTTCGGGTGCAGGCCAGCTTGCAGGGAAACTTTTCAGGGTTCAGATTAATTCTAGTTATCTTTCAGTCTAAATTAGAAAGTCACTTGTAGATACAAATTTATTTGCATAAAATAGCATGAAGGCTGACCATCCCTCTCATTTGGAGCAGGAATGTTTTAAACACTTTTCACTGCCCCAAAAGGCTAAATACTTCCACTACCTCATAAGGATGTTCTTGTGCAGATACATTACAGAAGATTTGTCTTTTCTGATGCATCCCTGTAGTCCACTGTGGGTGACAGAATTTAAACCAGGCACTGGCAGGGTGGAATATATGGAATTTCAGTCTGTAGAAGCCAGGGTTAAATCTAATGACTCAGTATCATGGAGTTTTCATTAATTCTTGAAAAGCATGGAACATGCATAAGAAAAAGTAGAGCAAATGCTTAGCACACCTAAATGAGTTCAAAATACTCAAGACCCAGATGGTGAAGAGATGAAACATGGTGTTTCTTCATTAATAAAATAAAAGAAAATACTTTCTTTTGAACTCCTCTAATGTTTACTTTTAAAAAATGGTGACTTATAAAGTTGAAACTTGTAGTTTAAATAATAGTCTTATTTGGTTTATATAGCAGAGATTGGGCAAAGATAGTTTATTGTTAAAATCCATCTGCCCCAAGAAACATTTTATGCTGAGTTTAATACAGCAAGTGAACCTTAAGAAACAAACAATAGAAATATTTAAAATCCTCAGTCAATTAATGGAATAATAATTATTCCATTCTGTTCCTTAAAGCCCTTTAATGCAATGCTTCTCAAAATGTGATTCACCTTATAGTCACTTTGGTACAATTATAAACATGCAGGTTTCTAGCCCCCTTTTGAGATTTGAGGACCTAAATCTCTAAGTGGGATCTGAGTTTAACAAACTCAGTTGATGAAATTAAAATTTGAGAACAATTATTGTTTTGGTTCCCCAAGCCTACTGATTTCATTTTTTTTAAGGGTAAACAGTATTATTTCTACTTTTATTTGGAAATATAAATTGTATACATTTGCTGGGTTTCACAGTGCAAAGGCTATTATATTTTGGATACTGTGTAGGGATTAGGTGAACATGTTTATCTAGCCATAGATTTATACGACCAAGAATACTATCAAGAGAATAAACTCAGCCAAGTTAACAATAACAATAGTTAAAACAATGTTTAACATGCACCAGATACTACTTTAAACAGACACTATTTTAAACACTATAACTTATTTAATCTTCATAGTAACCTTTTAAGGTAGATGTCAATATTATTTCAGTTTTGTAGAAGAGGAAACTGAATCCCTGAGAAGCTAAGTTAATTTCCCCAATACCATGCAGCTTAGCGACTATGTCAGGGTTTCTTACTCTAGATCCTGAGTCTTTATGCTTAATTTCAAAGTTCAATTTATGTGCTTAGTTTTCATCCTTTATTACTGAGTTCATAAAAATATACTCTTCTTCAATAAACATAAAAAACCTACTTTATCTTGATAATATTCACAAGAATGTCCTTGAAAGATTCAACTTCTTTCAATTTGTTGGCTGCCAGCTGAGATTCTCCCTAGGCCAAAGGGAGCTTTCCTTCCCTGGGATTGGGAGGGCTGACAGCTTGTTTGGTGCTTGGTCTATTGGTAGGGGGAGAACACAAAGGCTCAGTCCTCTTGACTCAGTTTGGGACAGCTCTGAAGAACCTGTACAACTCCAGAACACCCTGAGGGTTACCAGAGACCTCTGTTCAAATTGCTTCAAAAGATTGGTCTGCAGAGTCATAGGGCCAGGTTTTATTGTGACTGCTTAGCCATACACACATCACCATGACTCTCCATCTATGAGAAAGACAGACTACAGTGGTAGGAAACAAAAAAAGAATGTGAAAGACTACTCTCAGAAATGGATGGTCAAGTAGGCTCAGGGCCTGATGGACAAAACCACTGCTGCATTTCAACAGGGAAAGATTTCTTCTACCCCATTCCCTGCTCCTCTTCCTGCAGATACCATGTCCCTCCATTCTCCTGGATCCTCCTGGCCTTGACATGATGCCAGGATCTGATATAAGGGGGCCTTCCCATGATGTCAACAATGGGCTCTCCTGCTCTTAGGATGATGCCTTGGAACCAGCTCCTGCAATGAGGTGCCTATGAGCAGCCACATGTCAATGATGCCTGGGCCCCCAAAGGTGAAACTCTCCATGCATCTCAATACTGAGAGTCTTGGTGAATTGAGGTGGGGGAGTTCTACAGAGAGTGAGCAGAAAAGATAGGAGGTGGTAGTCAGGAGTGAGATTTCAGATGTGTTTGAGATTTCAGACTGTTATTGGTGATAGCAAGGTGTAAGAGTGGGTTGCTGAGGTGAGGGTGGAGGAAAAGCTCCCTGGAAATGAGGAGATCAGGCATTGACAGAAAGAGAATGGGATAGATCACTAGATGGAGAATGAAATCACCTGTAGAGGTGAGGGAGGGCAGAGAGAAAGGCAGTGAGCCAGGTCGAAGCTCATCTAGAGGGGCAGGGATGAAGGGGTGACAGCAACCAGGAGAGCCATTGTGCTTATCTAACATTGAATCTACTTAAACACTAGTATAGCACCTAGTAGGCAATAATAAATATTACGAAAATGTGTTATGAATGTCAATGTTGGATATTACGCTCCAGACTTGGGTTGACATAGTGCTTTTTGATGAGAACCTAGAATAGAACTTTGCACCAACCAGCTTCTGGGTGTTCCACAGCAGCTTCTGGGGTCCATGGGCCTGCCTTCACATAGCCCCTCTTCTCCAGGGCAAAGACAAACCCTCCATCTCCAATCACAACCTCTCCAGAGTTTAAACGTTCTAGGATGCCCTAAAATGACAGAAGGGGCAGGGGGAGAAAAGGAGCTGCTTGAGTTTTTCAAGGCAATTATCTTTTTTTTTAGTATTTTTGCTATCATTTTGCTCAGAAGCATGATTTCTTTAGAATTCTCATTCTAAAGAATGAGATGTGGGTGTATTTTAAACATAAATCTGTTACTGTCAGCAAACAACCCAAATGCTCATGTAATGAAGATTTGTGTGTACATGTGCCAGGGGCAGGGCTCATTAAAGATTCTTTGAAGAATATTGTGGGAGGATGGTATATCTAAAGAAATACCAATAGGGAATTAAATGAGAGGGGGTTTTTGGTAAAGCCTCAAATGAATATCTAAGCACACATTCACATGAAAGCTAGTCTTTCTTTTTACTCTGTCAATCAACCAAAGAGAGGATTAAAATTGATAATGAAGTTGAAGGGGATATATAAAGCTATAAGGCATTTTACAGACTAAAAGTCAGCAGACACTTCATAAAGATGGAAGGAAAAGAATACTACCACAAGGATTTCTCTCTTTGGTGTTAACATTCAGTTTCTACAACAACAGGAGATAGGTTACACTGTTTAGGAGATTATGAGTATCCACATTTTGTTCTCGACAAGTGCCAGATGACAAGAACAGGGTAGAGTATTTAAGTGTATATACAAATGTATGTGTGCATATATGTATATATATATATAGATATATATACATATATATGTATATATATATCTATATATATATAGATATATATATACATATATATACTTGCAAACTGATTTCTAGCGTAGTCTCCATATCTGTTCTATTTACAATATTATACAATAACTACCCTGGTGTTAATGTTCAAAAGATACATTTTAAATTTAATATTTTTTTTAAAGGAGGAAACTCCTGCCTCTTTTTTTTTTTTTAAGATTTATTTATTTATTTATACAAGCACTGGGTATAGTCAGAAGTGTGGGAGAGTGAGAGAACTCACCAGAGCCAGAGCAGGGAACAGAACAGGCAGACTGACGAAACACACTGCTGAGGGGAGCAGCAGGCATGACAGGAGAGGTCTGTCGTGCCATGTGGGACCCTCGCCGGTGGCCAGGGATCGAACCAGAGCTGCAGAGGCTGCAGGCAGCTTCACAGCCCAGCGCTCAACCAGGGGAGGCCCTTAAATTTAATATTTTAAAAGAGCTTTGTGGATTAGAAAGTGTAACCATATTTTTTTTAATTCCAAAGAATCACAGAATTTAAAAATAAAAGTTACCCTAATTCAACTTGGGTCATTCTGATTTTACAGTTGTAGAATTAAGGTCCAAAGTCAAAAGTAATTTACACAAGTTCTCAGGTGGGGAGTATAGGGCCTCCTGACTCAATACCTTACGTGGTATATAGATGTGGTTTTAAGTGGTGATGAAGAGGTAGAAAAGGCTTAAAAAGACTGTCATTACTTGGAATGTACTTACCATGTTCTATTTATTATGATGAATGACTGCATCTGTTTTGTCACATAAGGGTTACATAAATCTGTGAGAGGCATTCATGGGACTTTGCATCCTAAGTCCTTGACACTTGCTAGAGCCATCCTCATTTTAATCTTTTCCCTTCCTCTGACCCGCTCTATGCCTTTGATCAGCTGGTGCCCAAAGAGGAGAAAACAAGTGATTTTTTCCACTTACAGCAGCAAAATAGTATTATGCTATATGTTCTTTTTTTTTTTTTTTTAAGATTTGTTCATTTTTATACAAGAGCTGGGGTACAAGGCCAGAGGCGCGGAAGGGTGAGAGGATTCACCAGAGACAGAGCAGGGGGCAGAACAGGCAGATGACCGAAATACACTGCTGAGGGGAGCAGCAGGCGAGACGGGAGAGGTCTGCAGTGCCATTCCCTGGTCGGCCGGGAATCGAACCCGCACTGCAGAGGCTGCGGACAGTGCTGTGCTCAACCCATTGCTCCACTGGGGAGGCCCTATGCTATACGTTTTTGAGTATCCCTTCCAGAAAAATTTTAAGTTGGAAGTTCATGAGGTAACAACTCCAAAACAGCTACAAATATATTTGAAATCAAAGTAATCTATCACTATTACAGTGTGTAAATGCCACATCTTAAGTCTAGCACTTTGATCACTGTGACTCAATTAATACAAATAGATATACTACTCAGTGCAGTTATATCAAAACTATGAATGAATCAAATAAATGATATATTACTAGCTACTAACTTTGATTCATAGAGCTGGCACTGAGGAGAAAAAGCACAAGCCCTCACAGTCTTACACCCCAGAGATACCATGTCCTGACTTCATCTGCCTCTTCTCCTCGCCATGGATGCCTCTGTCCATCAGGCCTGGGGCTGGGCGCTTTGACAAGAGTCACATTTATTCCCTCCTCCCTCAGTCCCTCTCTTCCCACTGGCGCACTGTAGTCCCACGTCAGTCCCTCAGTGAGTGACTGCATGTCTCTATCCTTCGGTCCATCCATCCATCTCTCAAACTAGTCAAAAACTGAAAGTCTGGACTGTAACATTCATCCCACAAAGGGAAGGGAGGGGCTTATTGTTAATTGGGTGCTGGAGCTGCTAAGTTTTTGCTTTTTAAATCTTACTAACAATCCTTAATATCTTACGGCAACTGTGCCCATTTTTCTTACATTGTCTTTTCGATGTCCGCTTGGTGCATTTTCTGTGATAGCTAGACCCAAACGAAGGACGGATGGAGACTTACCATAATCCAACTAACGCTTGAGCCTTGTGGCTTCCGAGGTGTGGCAAGCGCTGCTAGAACTCGGCAGAGGCGGCCCTGAGGCCGTGGCGGGAAACGGTCGGATCCTGCCCGCGCGACCTCGGAGCCCTGGGCACCGCTTGGCGTAGAGGGGCGCGCGCGGTGGCGCCCACAGGGAGGGCTGGGGTTCGACACTGGCGCACTCCCGCCCGCCGCCTTGCGGGAGGGAAGATGCTCGTAGGAGCGGCATCTTTGGAGAGAGTGCTCTGATCTTGGGGATGCGAGACTTAGAAAATGTTGGGAGTTGAGTCAGAGGTCACATAGGTCTAGGGAGTGCTCTGGATGTGGGGCATGAGTTGGGAGAGGCTCAGGCGCGTTTGGGTCCTGCAGGAGTTTCCTTCTGGTCTCAGCCTGGCTACTGTGACCCTCTGCACTCTCTGAAGGCTGGGATGAGAGACCAGTGGGTGGCGACCTAAAAGTATTGACCGGGATGAAGAATTCGGGTTTCCTGAAAACTCACCTTTTTGGCCTTTTTGCCCCCAGGGGGTGCCATCTTCGTGGTTTACGCACAGGTACTTGCGCGGATGCGGACAGAGATGAAGCGAGCGTTTCCCCCTGTGAAGCGATGAGCTCCTGGGGAGCCCGAGGCCGGACTCTTTATATTCGCTGCTGTGTGTGGGGTGGGTTTCTCCAACCTTGGCGCTGTCCAACACGGTCCTCTGGCAGGAACACGCCCACAAACCTTTTATTGAATAGGCCTGCGGATCGTTGGGAACCTGCCATTCGGAGGTGATGACCAAGAGTGTTCTCCCAAATAAATGGGTGAAAACATCCAGAAGTAAAACAGGGTCCCTCTGCACCTCTCAGGTCCACGACCCAGATTTACCTCTCCCTTGTCTGGGATCATGCACCATTACTTAATTTACGGGAGGAGGCCCTAGTAATTCCATTCAATAGCAAATATTTGTAAAAGGCCAAGGGTAAGATTATTGAGTGTGGGGGCAATGCCCTAGAACATCAGCCTAAAGTGTGATCTCCTGTGTGATATACATCCTGTGGTTCTGTCATGGAGCACAAATATCATTTATAGAATGGTCCCATACTTATCATGAATTAGTGGGGTATGTTCAAAAGTACTGAATCCTCTCATCCCCAGCACCTCTGGCCTACATCCCAGTTCTTCTATGCATAAATAAATAAATATTTTTAAAAAACCACCAAAAGGACCTTCTCCCCTTATATCCAAACATACTTTGCAGTTTCTAATAATACCGTTGTTTCTAATAAGGATATTGCAATATTTAACAAGGACAGACAACATTTATGTATGACAGTGAAGATATACTTTCAAGACTTCATATTCAGCATAAAAACTATGTATAAAACATGTAGGCATTACTAAAATTGGAAGGAAATAATTAGCAATGTTAACAATAGTTATCTGTTGATGGGGAACTATAGCTTGTTTTTATTTTATTCATTGTTTTACTGTATTTTTCTAAAATATTTTAATGAGAACACATTGCTTAAAACTAATAAAAACATTAATTTAAAAATTTACAACACACAGTAAATAACCTAGAGAACAATGAAAAAGTCTGAAATAGAATTCATAGCCTTTCTTCCCCAAATAAAAACACACTTGGAAATTTTGTATGTGAAACAAACTTTATTTCAACATATGCAAAGGAGGAAATTACTGCAGTAAGTGATGAATTAATACAAATTTAGTTGCTAACATGATGTGCACTTGAGATGCAACTGAAGAGTCCTTTAGTTTATTTATAACTGTCAAGTTTAAAATGAAATGATGATAAATTATATTATAAATCAAATAATATTTCACCTACCCTCAAGAATGAGGTAATGAGGTAATGTTATCTTTCACAGTCCCTGAATTTTCTACCATTAAAGCATTGCAGTAACTGACTAAATAGCAGTTTAGTTCATTAATGCTTTCACTACTTATAGTATTAACCTGGTGAGTATTAGTAAGATGAACAGGTCTGGAACTGCCAATCTGTGGCTGCAAGAAGCAGTTGCAGTGGTGGGTACCAGACGCTAGGGGGCAATATCAGGGCTCCGACGGTAAAAGCTTAAAACAGGCATTTTCAATTTCAGTTCCTCCAAATTCTGCAAAACTGATTAGATATTTTAAACTAGTGGCATTTAATTTAAAAATGACTTGTGATTTTTTTTAGTAGCTAATACAAACAGAAGGCAAAAAAGAAGCTAAAGTCTTCATTGGATATAATCTCTATTACCTGTTAACTATATAATCTGTATTACTTGTTAAACAGAGGGCCTTTATTTGTATTTAAGTGTATACATGTATAGATAAGGATTTGTATTTAAATGAAGGGCATTTTAGTTATGTTAATACTTACCCACTTTCACCTTTTCCAAATAGTTTATAGACAACTGTGAAATAGTTTTGTTTTTCTTCAGTCTGTGAATTTGTTATCCTATCTCCCCCTACTCCTATCTCTATTAGGTCCATTAAAAAAATTCATTCAGCTGCTATTTCCATAGTAGATAATAATATTCATAGTCTGCTAAGTGCTTACCATGTGCCAGGCACTACATGAACCCTTTTACATACATAATTTTATTTATTCCTCTATATTCTGTGAGATGATGCTCCCTCTTTGTACTCAAGATTCGTGAAGTCAGGGAGTTAAAGAGTCATCATTGTGAGTGCTGAAATTCCCTGCCCCACTCCCAAAGGACTAAGTCCGCCTGGATACCACCTGGGGAGTGAATTCTGTAATAACTGTTCTTGGGAAGCTGCCCGTGTTCTTTGTATTCTGCTAAAGCAATGGGATGTGGAAGGTCATAACACTGAAGCCTTTGGCCTCCTGCAAAGATGTTTGTGGTTAAAAATAAATCCTGAAGGGGAAGAGGAAGGTCAGAGCTGGAAATTCATCCCCTAAGTTTTATAACTTCAGAAGAGAGGTTATGAGTGTCTTTAGCTAGTGTTTTGCTATGCTTATATCACATTAATTCATTCAATCAATGATGACTAAGTGCCAATAATACACATTTTCAAACAACACCCTTGTTACTGAAGGTAAAGGGTATCTCCTTCTTTTCTCCAAGGGGAAGATAGACATCATGTCATATCAGAATTCAAATGTCCCCTTTATCAAGGCTGAGGAGAAAATATCAGGACTTTTCATTTTCCCTTCAATTGACATCTCCTTTATACTGAGCTGATTTTATAGATGTTTTTAGACTAAAACAGTTTCATCTAACCTTTAAACCATTGAAGATGTTTTAACACCATGTAGAACAGTGTTTGTGAACTGGTGACAAAGAAATGTTGCCAACCTTTTTGTTTTCTTTGGCAAACTCAGTGTTTTTTTAAAAAGTGAATGTGAATTCTTCGGAGCAGCCACTCTTCCCATTTGCCAGTCTGCTTCACACCCAGTTGCCCTACACCCTTCAAGTTCACTTATTTACTTTACCTTGAAGGCATTTGAGTTCTCAGCTTCTGCTGTAGTAGAAATGTTTGGGGTTATCAAATACATCTGAGGTGTCCTTTGTTCAGAGTTCTTTCAAAGAATCCCCGAATTGAAGATTTCACTTTCCTTATATTTTCCCATGGCCACTAACCTCAGTTTTTTATTGTTGTTACTGCCCAGGATCCTAACAAAGGGATGGTAGAGGTGAAATTTTCATCTAAAACCTTCTTCCCTGGGTGCCCGGCCTTTCCTTGCTTTATCTGTCCATTCCATCTGTCCATTGCAATGACCACACATTTACCCCAACATATCAGGCAGGTCAAACCACCTCATGCAATTACTCCCCTTTAAAGGCCTTTGTTTCTTTATATGTAAAATGCAAATTAAATCTGGGTAACTTTTCATATTTTGTTCTTTGCAATGGCTTTGCATAAATTTAGAGCAAAAA